GAAGTGTGAAGGACTTTTGGGTATTGAAAGGCGAAAAAAATATTTGTTTCTTTAATTTTGGAGAAAAATTACTATAAGAGGAAATTTTTAAGAAAAATGTTGTGTACGGGAAAGAGTTTTTTTTTAGAATTTAATTTGGTTTATTTAAAAATTTTAAACTACTTAATATATATGTATATATATTAAAACTTTTTTAAAAAAATAAAACTTATTTAAATTTAATTTAAAAAAAAACTCTTTTCCACTCTCCTTTTTATGCTTGAAAATTTCCTTTTTAGGAAATTTTTGAGTTGTTTACTTTTCCTTCATCTTTTTTTTTCCCTCTTTCTATGCCTTCTTCCCATATCTCTTTATTTTCTTTCTTCTATTTTTTCTTCTCTTTTCTATATACTTTTTTTTTTTACTTTTACTTCTCCCTTCCTTTTACTCTTTTTCTTCCTGCCGAAGCTAGATTTTTCCCTTTTCCCTGAAGATTTTCCTTTCTAGGTCTCTCTCTCTTTTGAAAACTCTATCTCCATAACATTACTCCTCTGGTCAGTTGACTTTCTTTTCTCAAGGACCATATTAAGAAGCAATAATCTTTCTTAGGACATGGGCTTTAGAAATTTTTCTCTCTTCCATGGCTTTTCAGAAAAAGGATAGATGGCTTACCCCTCCAAAAGATTTACATGGTCATCATTACCAAACCCAGCATTGTTTATCAATTGGCGGTTAGACTACATATGCCCAAGAAACCTCTGTATAACTATTATTATCTGAAAGTACTCAAGGAGTTATGCCTCACAGTATTCAGAGTGAAATGGTAACCAATACCAATACAACTAGCAATAAGCTAGGTTAGTTGCAGATATTATACTAGTGATTGGAAAACTTAGTAAGGTAACACATAACGATCAGGGATTCTAGTTACCCCCACAACACAAGCTGGTGACGACAACGGAAGTTTTTCGCTCATCCCTCTGACAATGTAGGTCTATTGTACAAGGTTAGGTTCTGGTGCCATTAAGAAAACCAATAAGAACTCCACCCATAGGATACTTCTGCCACACATTAACAAGAAGTTTTTTGATTAAGATAAATTAATTGTAAAGTTTCTATTATTTTCTATTATGTATTATATGACTTATATTATTATTTGAAAATAGATATTTACAGTATACAAATAACATTAAAGAATATTAATTTTAAAGAAGTTAATTCATTAATGAATAATGGATGTCCTTTTCGTTAAATCAATAATAAAAATAATTATGATTTAAGTATCAATCGAGTTTGTAGTAATCCCATGTTCTCCTCAGGCGGTAAATCTATTCTCTATCGATTCCACCTGGATCGTATATGCGTAAACGCTTTGACCTTGGATAATTACCATCGAGGTAACGCATTTTAGAGATTTTATTAAAGACTCTATTTTTGTCAATTCTGTTATAAGGATTCGAATAGACTAAAATAGATTATTGGAAAATATTGTTTTCTCCCACGTAAGGGTCTTTTTTATATAGTGTATGATGTATGTCCCTTCGAAATTTTTTCGTGGAATTTCGCGGATTCTTATTTCTTTAATTCACTATTCGGCTATCTTCATACTTTCTTGAAAGTGATTTTCTGCATTTTTAATGCTAAAGTTTTCAGTCCAATGGTATTTTTGTAAAAGAAATGTCAATTTCTGTAAAACCTTATCCCATAACTCAAATCTTTCCATTTATGAGCAAATCAATTTCGACGTTTTTTTTCCTCGTGAACAAAAATCCAAAGAGAACAAAATCGTTCGGGATCGAAGACCAAACTTAGTGTCGGTTCACGCGTTCCCGTTCTCGAGATTATTATTGGTTTTTATTTCCTTTTGATATAAAATTTTAATTATTATGAATGAATTGAAGTTTTCACGGGAGGAAGACCAGACATCTCATTTATATGCGTTATTTATTTTTTGTATGTAAAGTTTTTATAAACACGGAATTAATAATGATTAAGAGACCTGATCGATTTATTTAATGAACTTGGGAAAAGCGGAATCCTCCAAACATTGGAATTCTTAATTATTCGATTATTATAAAACAAAAAGTCCTTATCTATTTCGAATGCTTTGTAGTAAAATAATGATAATGATAATGATAATGTAATATATAATTGTGTTGATTAATTGAATCGTTATTTGATATTTAAGCGAATCTTTCGCTTCCAAAAGATTCGGAATAAATATTATATAGGAAAAACTTTAAAAATTAATTTTTTGTATAATACATCAATAATATAAATACAGAGAAAATGTCATATACTATATAAGTTTTACAAAGATAAATACAAATTTACATAGACATAAAGATGAATAAACAAATTAATTGGAATAGTTTGATGAAGCCGATGAATATACGGACGCGACAGAATTACTTCTATCAAGCCTTGATTTCATCTTTTCAATATCTTTCTCAAGTCTAAGGTGTATTATAAAAGAAATGTTTGTTATTTTTGAAACATTTCAACAATCAAGACAAAGATTGAAATAGTAGATACCTTAACGAACGTTCTCTCGCCTCAATAGTTTCACGCTCTGCACGCCTTTTGCTTAGTTGCAACGCATTTTCGGAATTTTGCTAAGAAACAACGTAGTACACATTAGCAATTGAGAATATGTGATAAAGCTCAAAGTAAATTTGGAATTATAATTTATACTCACTAGCTCTTCAATAGCTTCTCGCATTTTTGCAACCTTTTGCTCATATCTGCTAATTTCTGATTCATAACGTGTCTTGGCCTTATCTCGTTCCGCAAGCTGGTATTGTAGCTCTCGAATCGTTCGATCGTTTTTTCGTGAAACTCTCAAGGTTTCATTCTTTTCACGGGTTTCATTATCGAGTTGCACCGTTAATTCTTCGAGACGAGATTCCAGACGTTTCACACCACGTGGGGAGGTCATTAATTTAGCTTCCAGATCAACAATTCGGACATTCAATTCGTTGATCTGCTTTTCTAGTACGATCTGTTGAAGTAGGCAATAAATTATTTCGTTCTATTAATATCCGCTTGATAAACCTTGTAAAGAAGAGACAGGGGAACTTACTTTTGATTTTACTAAATCTTGATTTTCCTCGCGTTCTTTTGCCAATTCAGTCTGAGCATCTAAAGCCATTAATTCGGCTTTACGCAATTTTTCAGCCATTATAGAAGCACTCGCCTGTTGCTCTTCGACAAGCTGTCGAAGTTCTACAACTTCTTTGTCCAATGCATTAACGCTTCTTTCGGCAGCATTCTTATTTTTACTGGCATCATTATATTGCTCTCCAATCTCTTCCAGACGTTCTTCGAGATTTCGTTTTAATTTTTCGAGAAGCATCTTCTGTGACTCGCATTCTTCCAGTGTTGTTCTCAGATTACGCATTTCAGACAACAAGGAACTAACTCGAGACTGAAGTTCGTCATGAGAAGCCAAGGCGTCGCCGTATAGTTGAGTTAATTCAGTGATTTGACTTTCATATCTCTCCTTCTCTCGTTTCCACAAATTCAAGTTATGATGACCTTCAGACTTAGCCAAAATTTCTTCATTCTCCGTTCGCAATGATTTGTTCTCCTCCCTCAAGCGTACAATGTTGGCTCTTTCCATTTCAATTTCATCGGTAAGCTTAACCAATTCTAGTTGATACTTCTTTCTCGTCTGATCGAGAGAAAATTGAATTTCCTCAATGTCTTTCCTGTATCTTTCGCGTTCCTCATCAAATTCGTCTTGCAGACGTGAACGGAGAGAAGCAAAGTCAGCAATTTCAACTGCATCATCTTCCATTTTCGCATCTAATTCAACCAATTGTTCCTCAAGATATCTGGCTTTGTCTTGAGCAATCTTTTTGTCATTGGAAATCTCCACTAATGACTGCTCTAGTTCTGTAACCTGAAGCTTCAATAATCCTTCAGATTTTTCGGCCTTGAGCCTGGAAAGTTCCGCTGCATCATGCTTAATTGAGATCATGTCTAGTTTAGCCTTGTAAGCGTCCAGTGATTCCGCCAGTTCAGCAGATTTGATTGTTTCCGCTTCGTATTTAAGTTGATAATCTCGTAATTCGGCCGCTACTTTACGACAACTCGCTGCTTCTTTTTGTTTTTCTTGTATTTCGTCGTCAAATCTACTTCTGATTTCCCCGAGTTCAGCCTGAAGTAACTTGTTAGCACGTTCCAGTTGAATAATGTCCTTTTGTCGATCCTCAATTTCCTTTTGTGCCAACAGTTGAGCGGGGGCGTTCAAAAGACCAAGTTCTTGCATTTGAATTTCAAGAGCTTTCTTTGATCTCAATAGTTGCTCGCATTGACCTTCAAGCTCATCGATTTCTTCAAGTAAATCCCTGACTTCCTCTTCGAGGTCCATTTCTCTTTGTCGCGTCTGCTTCAATACTTCTTCTTTATCGAGCGTAAGGGAACGTTCGTTTTGCAACAACTCCACGAGAGTAGTTTTCTCAACCTCAAGCTTAGCGTTTGCTGACTCGAAGTTCAGCCGTTCCTCGGTCTCTTTCTGAAGTTTTTCTTCGAGCTCGCGTATGCGATTGTCTCTAATCCTCAATTGCTCCTCGAAACGAACGCTGGTTAACATTGGCCTAACTTTGGAAAAGAGTTTCCACCAAGGATCCGCGCGAAGGTTATTGTAAAATCGAATGTTCCTCTGAATGACGCGTACAGCCTGAAGTTTTCCTTCAAGTTTCTTGTAATGTTTTCGTCCAAGCCAGCCTCGACAACATGCTTGGAACTTGGAGAATACCTGCGAGAGTTTGGCATCGCGCTCCTCTTCTAATTCTGCCAACTAAAGAAAAGAATCAACAAGAACATCATTAATTTTACTCATGAGTGCACGGATGATGAAAAACCCAAAACATTTTTTACCACGCCAGCACGGAAAAATATCTTGCTTAGCCCAATGCGATATTGAGTACTCTCCAAATTAAAAGCTTCCAACAGCTTTTGTGCAGCTTCTCGACCATCCATAAAACCTGCAGGGATGATTCCGGGACTCAAAATCTCGTAGCGTTGGCGAAATTCAATAAATCCCAATCGATTTGGGAAACCGGCACGGCAAATGCGAATTCCTTCAAGCACACCATTACATCGTAGTTGATCAAGGACCAAAGGCACCTGTATTTTACCTGGCTTCTTTTCATTGTTAGGCACGATGCATCTCACGAAATGAGGATGTGTGGAATAAAGCTTCTGCATCAAAGAGTGTAACTGTTCCTTATGACGACGGCCGACTGTCCTGAACGCTCCGCGCTTAACGCGATTCTTTTTGCCATTATCAACAAGGTCGCCAAGATAGTCAGAGAACAGGGAGGAAATGTATGCTTCCGAGGAATAGGCTAAAAGATGGGTAACATTCTCGTTAAGAGGGTCTTTGTTCTTATTAAGCCATCCCTCAGTTCTGTATTCCACTTTTGCAGCATAATGTTGCAGAATGAATCCTTGGTTAAAACGAGGAACTTGATACTTGGATGTTTTATCTTTCCAGAGACTGTGCAGTTTCTCAACAAATGTCTTATCAGTGGCCTTTGGCATCACGCATTCTTCGTCGAGACAAGAGAGAATACCCACAGGCTAAGAATACCAAAGGATAAAGAGTAAGAATAAGGTCATGATCGCGAACAGTCAAACACAAAAAGCTGTATGTACATTAGCCTTATCGATCAGATCAATTGTCGGTTGTAAGTCCAATCCAAAATCAATAAATTTCCACTCGATATTTTCTCGTCTGTACTCCTCTTGTTCCAAAACGAACATGTGGTGATTAAAGAATTGTTGAAGCTTTTCGTTTGTATAATTGATACATAGTTGTTCGAAACTATTTGTCTGCGAAAAATTAAAAATTTCACAAACCAATGTAAGCATATTATTGATTCAGATGGCAAACATGAGTACACGAGTAACAATACCTCGAAAATTTCAAATCCTGCAATATCAAGCACACCAATGAAATTTGATTTGCTCGAAGGTCTATCAACAGCCTTATTGATCCTATCTACCAGTGCACCAAAGCTTCGTTCATACAATGATTTCGCGAGAGCTTCAATCGAATATAAAACTTGTTCCCTGGTACGAGCTTGGGTGACCCATTCTCGACCAGCTTTAACCTGGGGTTTTAGAAGACCCTTGATAAAATCGGCCACCGGTATTGCCAGTAGGTGACAAACTTTTTCGACAACCGAAGTTTCCAAAATCTGTGCTTGATCATCTCTACTCGAGGTAACATTGATATTTCCAAGGTGCAGCACGATAGCAATTATGCGGAAAAAGTTCATTTGCTCTTCTTGCGAAATACCCACTATGTTCATGGCATCCTAAAGAAATTTTAATAAATAGCCAAGAGACTTCTTAAAGAAAAATCAATAACAAATAATTCATACCACAAGTCCCTGAAATTCTACTGCATCATCCACGCCATCGATATCTTCCCTTGAGTGTTTAGTAAATCTGTAATCGCTTACTTGTCCATCCAAAAGTAATTTACCTAGAAAGTAAAAGAAAAGATACACGTAGTGTTTAAGTTATAATAATCTGATTATATGCATATGCCTAATGTGAAGATAATTCTTACTTCTGATTTGAGGATAAGCACCTTTCAGGAGCTGATAAAATATGTGAAAGTTACGTTCATTATGAGTTTGATAGGTGACACGTGATTTTTCCAGCAAATATCTTTCGATGTTTGCTCCCGCGATCTGGCCCTGAGAGTTGAATTCAATGCGGATAAATTTGCCCTACCAAGATTTTACTAATTAGGTGAGATGAATACTACCTGTTGAAGTCAAAAAATAGAACATGGGAGGAAACTTACGAAACGAGAAGAGTTATTATTACGAATGGTTTGTGCATTGCCGAATGCCTCCAGTATAGGATTTGCTTGGAGAATTTGTTGCTCGAGTTTACCCAACTTCTTTGTGTCAGAGCTGTCACTAGCAATCGCTGCTATATATTGGATCACCTTTTTTGTATTTTCAGTTTTCCCAGCCCCGGATTCTCCACTAGATAGATGTTTGGTCAACTAATATTGCTTAAAGGAAAACGCCTAGAAGTAATAAAAGTCATAAACCACTCACGTGATTAGTATGGACTGATTTTCACGTTCTAGCAGTATGTTACGATAGGCCGCGTCTGCAATAGCGTAGATGTGGGGAGGCATTTCATGCCGTCGCCGACTCTTGTAAGATCGAATAATCTCATCCGTATAAATCGGAATTTTCTGGTAAGGATTGACTGCGACCAAGAAAAGTCCAGAATATGTCTATTCATAAACGACAGTGTTATATGGGTGCATCGAAAAAGAAGTACAACGAGCGCATCGTGATACCAAAGACTTACATATATTAGATTAGATAGATATCGTAATCGAAGATTATGGATTACTGATGCTTCATTCAAGTGTGTCAACTCTGCCATGTCTTCCACTCTATCAAATTTAGGCGGATTCATCTTTTCCGTTTCGCTCAGATTAATTACACGGGTCTGCATGGTGACATGGTATGTGCAAAAGTGAATATACTTAATGTTGACTTTCTCAATGGGCACGTTTTTATTTTGTTAAGAAAAAAAAAATCACGGATCATTCAGAAAACCTACCGAATTATCATCCAATTGAACCTCCACCTGTTCCCCCATGTCTTTTGTTATGTGACCGGCGATATAACCCGCATTCTTATCCTCCACCCAAACCCACTTTTTTTCATTAAAAGAAGCTTGAGCGACTGCGTCAACCACTCCAGCGCCTCGGGCGCCATTCGAAACATACCGAAGGATTTCTCCCCCGGCCAAGTCATTTTTGGAATGTTCTGTTGTTAACATTGCACCGAGGCTATGGAGATGGTTGTCAGTATACAAATACTAGAGGATGATGCTTTAAGTTTACAGTTTGCCGAAGAATAATTGAGAAAGGAGTTAAATCGCATATAATTTATATACATTTTTACGGGACGATCAGGGGGTGTCCCAACAATTAATTATGCATGCACCTATGCTCCCTAACAATGATCCATTTTTGGTACGTACGTACTTTTCTGTTTAGTCCCTGAATGATCTACGAGAATTTTGGATTTTCGAATTTGTCCACGCGAATCGCATACGTAATTAATTCTGTGCAAAATATCTTTTTTAAATACTATACTTTATTTGGAGCATGATGAAATAATATTTTTAGGATCAGATTTTTTTCATTTAATCTAGCTTGGTGAATCTGATTAACTTTACCCTACGATTTTCCTCAGTTATGTATCAGCTTTAAAAAAGAATTATTCAAATCATGCTAGTGGGCATTTACTTTATCATATTACGAATATGATCACGTGTTTAATATTTTGAAGACACACGGACACAAACTCCGCAAGATTATATCCCCTATAGTTTACTTTGCGAGAAATAAGAAATAACCGAAATCAATTTTTAAGCGATTCCAACGAGTAAATACTGTATTTGTCAGAGCACACAATTTCTCTTCTACTTTACGCATTCTTTCACGGATAAAAAGGATAATATATGCCTGCCATTATATAATTAATAAGGCTTGGTGATAAAAAGGATGAAAATGCTAAACAATATTTTTTCGATCATCATTTCCCTAACATTAGGCATCAATGACGAAATAAATTTAACATAACTGTATAATAACAGCATTCATAGGGGCTTAAATAATTTGCCTAAACTTATCTCATACAATATTTATGACGCAAGTGCACCTGGATTTAAAGATAACTCGCGATCTTTCCCGGCAGTTAATTCTTATTGAAATAACGTTGTTTACATTCTCGGTTTTTTTAATCACCGAGAACCCTTTTAACTCTTCTTGTGTATATATAAAAGACCAATTGGGTAATTTTATTTTATTTTCAAAAAATTCCAGCGAAAATGTTAGCAACAAACTTAAATTTAGACCTGGAACGTAAAATTTGCACAAGTATTTCCAGAACATTGTTTCGCTAGAGTATGTGGAAAGACAAAATCATTTGTTTACCAATGCTTATTTACTATTCTTGTTACCCTTACCTTTTTTTGCCGATGTTATTGCAATGTACTTTTCGGGAACGCCCTTTGTGTTAACTAAGTAATCTTTAACGAGCGTAGTCTGAGGTCCTTGGACCATAATTTCATACAAGGGTTTCTTTGGGGATGATTGCGACGTTGGATTAACTGAAATGCAGTTATTGATTGTGATCTTCATCATGCTACTGAAGTTACTTGAGAATAAAATTTTTTAAACTTACCAGCTACGCTACTCGCACATAATTTTTTAAAAGGTTCCACCAAATCATTGGGATCAATTCTGTAATCTTCTAAACCTCGGACAATCGTAACTATCTTGTTACCTGAGCGAGTCGCTTCCAAAATTTGTAAATGCTTTGGTAATCCTTTCCTATAATTATGAAATGTGCACCTTAGATTTTCCGAAACATAGTCGGTTCGTAAACGATGTTACTGACCTCAATTCAGGTTCATTTCCTGGAAAAGTAAATAAATGGCATGACTCCATGCGTTCTCTGACATGTTGGAATAAATCATCTCGTGTCATTTGGTCAGGTATGGGCTCTTCGGATTTTTTGCCCGCAAGGATTTCACGTAGATTCTCATCGAGAGTAATATATCTTATATAAAGCAGGATACGCAATTAAAATAGCATGCTAAAGTTATGCCTCTATAAAAAAACAACGAACAAACAAACCTTCGATTGCGTTTATCTACGAGATCGTGAGAATTAAAATAATCCGTGACCGTTTCGCGTATTTCTCGAAATCCGTAAGCATTTTCTTTACTAAAAGAATGATAGTATAAAATTTATCTTTAGTGATTCTAATTTTCAGTACCAAATTTCTTTGAACGCTTAACCAAACCTTTTTCCTTGAGTTTCGAAAAGCTCGGCGACAGCACCATTCGGCTTGTAAACTTCCGCAATCTGAATTTTATCCACTGCATTGTTACTCGAGCTCGATGTTCCGTCTTCATCTGAAGCATGCGATTTTGAGACTTTCTCGACGGTCTTATGGGATCGAAAAACTTTTAGCCTAAACATAAGAAAAATAAATATCAATAGTGTGCGAAAAACTGTATCTAACAAATCAGATAGTCAAATAACCTACTCATCGTTGTCCAAGTTTATTTTTACCAAAAATATCTCTCCTCGCTGGCTTTTCAATTTTATAACACCTTTTTTTTCCATAGCCTTTAAAAACTTGGTGACCTGTTTTTAAAGATCGCGTTTTTTTTTCAATATTTTCGTGTAAAGCCAATTCAAACTAAATATTATGTATGTACCTGTTTGTAACTCGATTTTTTAATGTCAACATCTTTTTCAGTTCCAATAGGTCGCGATGGAAGGATATATTCAGAATAAAGTTGCGAACTTGTAATAGGCAACATCGATTGTGTTAATTTTTCCGTGAGGGCTTGATAAAGAGACGCTTGCAAAAAATCATCGACCTCTATTTTGATGTATTGAATTTAATTCAAAATATTTGGTACACTTTGGGTTAAAAAAAAAGAAAAGAAAAAACCTGCTGGAGTATATTTAACAGTTTGCTCGGTAATCTTTTCTTCTTCCTCTTCATAAGAAGTAATGGCTTCTGAATCTACTTGAGTAGGAGATTTTTGTTCCTGTTCTTGTTCTTCGCCAACGGAACCCGTTTTAACATCTTCCATTTCAGGTGGAGAAGATTTGTCACCCATGTTCCACAAATGATCTTTGTAAATGTGGATTATATTAACGGCAATTCCTTTACGCGTCGAACCTCGCTCAAGAGAATTGGTAGGTACACTCATAATACCCACAGCTAAAGGAATGCTGTGTGATTCAATTAAATGCAAAAAAACTCAGTTCCCGTAATAGAAAAGTTATAAACCAACTTTATAATAGACACCATAAGAAATGACACACTTGTAGCCTCTGACGACAATGGAAACAAGCTCTCCTTCTTTAACATCTGGTAAACCTTCCGGTGGAAAAGCAATACCCGGAATCATAAAATTTGCACCGCCTTCCAACTTTGAGATCACTGCCGAAAATGTGGGTATTTTTGGAAGGATATTGGGATTGCGCCACAATGTGTAGACTACGATTTTAAAATATGAGTCACGCGTGGTTCATTCAACGAATGTCGATAATATGAAGACCATCTAGAGTATTACCACTAGGAACCAATAATTCATTCTTGTCTATGTCCAACCTGACCCATAATGGATGCTTGGATTCATCGACATAAAGCACTCCGGCGTAACCATTATGAGTCTTTATATTAGCTTTCTCTGTGTGCTCTGAGACCAAAACATTATGATCTTCATCGGATAACTTCTCTTCGATGTCGAGTGTTGGGTAACGCTTAATCAATTCCTCTCGGAATTTTCGACGATCCGAACTCCGTAAAGGAGAATAAGGTTTGATGCTCGCAAGTGGCTTCTTAAACATTGCTGGTTCATTAGGTAAATGCTTGGAAAGGGATAAGGAAAAAAGAATTTTCTGATTGAAAATTAAATCTTGAGTTTCAATTAAAAGATTAACTCGTTGATAAGGAACATCCTAAAAAGAGAATAACAAAATAACTAATAAAATATACTGTATAAATGACCTGATATTGATTTAATCTAATTCTGAGTGTTTTTGAATATCTAAGGTTATGTGCCCAAATTAGGTATGAAGACCGTAAAGGTAAATAAACATGAAAAAAGGACACCACAAAAAATTGTGGGACTCAAAAAAAAGTTGATTTAAGGTGAAGACGTAACACGATAACATAAATATAGGAGAATGTTGAAGCCGGTAATATCATGTGATTATGTAGATCTAATTAATAGTTCGATTTTAAATAAATTTCAAAAAAAATTTCATGAAGGCTACTATAACCTTTAATTTCTAACATTTGAAAATATACTAATAAAGACTTTTTAAGTTGTTTATTATAGATTTGCAATCTGTTGTTAGTTTTACTTTACTCGTCAATTAAAATACCTTCTTGATTTATGAAAAAATTAGATTCCAATATATTTATTGTAAATATTTCAAAAAGATTTATTTTAAAACCAGAAACGGAAACCGTTAGGATCCGAAGCATTATGTTAATTATTAAATACATTTCATATACTATACTGTATATATTTATTGGTTTAATTTAATAAAAAAATTTTACCATTTATTTTTTATACAATATCACATACAGTAATTTGAAATTAACTATCTGATTAAAAAATATTCAAATTTAAAAATATATAATATCCATTCATTTATTTTTATAAATTTATTTTAAATAATTTAAAATTTTTTTGTTTTTTATATAGAAATTAAAAGGTGCGGAAATAACCACTTTTCTGCTCGTTATCTTCCTTAAAGTCCTACGCTTTACTTCGGACAATAAATTTTATTCGATATTTCAATTCTATAAAATAAAATTTTCATTAAAGTACAGTATCCATGGACAAATAATTTAGATAAATTAATGTTTGTAAAGAAAATAACCCAAAATACTAATCATATTTTGTGTCTGTGTAACGATTTGAAATGCATAAAAGTATTTATAGTAGTAGGAAAATTCAAGTTTAAGATTAAATGTCATTTTTTGGTCTCTGTCCCGAATGTAATCAAAATTTGTCAGGAGTAAATTGGTGCATGTCATGTAATGGAATTCACTTTAAACAAAATTTTGACAAATGGACAAGTGGAGATAAAAAAATTGACGAATTTATACA